GATGCTTATGAAAACTTATGATTTACAGATTATTTTTAACTACTATTTATGTGTATTCTACTATCTATACTCCTTCTGAATAAAGGGCTAAATTTCTTTAAGAATAGAATGAAGGTGTTTCCCTTGCTAATTTATCCTTAAAGTCCTTTCGTTTTGTAACCCTGTATAAGATTATAAAGCTCATGGAATCTCAGTCAGAAATCAAAAGAGACAAATTTAATCAAATAATCATACCTGTATAAATAATTCTTTCTCACTTGTATTTAAACATTTTTTACTTATTTTTTGACTTTTCAAATTTTCTAGCATAAGCAAATGTTAATTTTATAATATTAAAATAAAGTTATAAAACTAGAAAAAAGCTCAAGCTTATGTTTAGTTGTTTAATATGATTGTATTTTTATGCTGCTTCCTTATTTCTTAGGTCATGGTACAACATAACCGCATAGAGCTTCTCAATCATCCTGTGTGTAAAGAATATTTACTCATGAAATGGTAGGTATTGGGTAGTATTTCTTTTTTAAATGAGGTACCTCTTATATCTATTAAAAGCTCTAAGCAATTATTTTAAATAATATTTTAATATTTTATAATTTTGAAAAGAAATTATTATCAATGGCAAATGTTAGCATTAAAATGCTGGCATTTTAAATCTTTGACACTAAATAAATATTTGAGGGGTGAGAGAGAAATTTTGCCTAAGACTTGAAGAAGTGTGCTGGATCCTGCAGTTAGTTGACAATGAAGTGGGAGGTGTGTTCTACAAGAAAGCATTCAACTGCCAGTCACATCATATGGGCTGAAGTCTCTGCTCTTCCATTAATTGGAGAAACTTTAAGTGAATCACAATTTACTCAGAAGTTGAGATTCCTTCTTTGGTTGATAAAGTAAATTAGAAGATGTTTTTGGTTTTAAAATTCAATGAATTTACCAAATATATTTCTGAGAGATATTATAAATCTTTCCCTACAGGTATCCTGAGTAAGTATTTTTGTTTAAAATGACTCAATTATCTTTGCTTATTTATTTATAGGTGTGCCTATGGATTTAGAGCCCATATGATGAACCTCGGATCTTACTGTCTTGGACTCATACCTATGACCTTACTTGTTGTAAATGTAAAGCCAGGAATGGCTTTCAACTCAACTGGAATCATCAATGAAACAAGTGATCATTTGGAAATATTAGACTCTACGGTATTTTCTAACTTCAACTCTTTCAAATAAAAGATAAAAAAATGTATTTTTCCTTAGTGATACCACCCCCATAATAAATCTGAAATATCAGGATTTTGATATGGTAAATAACCTATAGACTTTGCATATGGTACAAATTTCTTCAAAAATCCCTTGTGGAGTTAGAAGGAATATGATAGGTCAGTAAATGAATTCATAACTAATTTAAAAAGAATTGAGACGTATGATCTGTCTTGAATACCAAAAAGTATACTTTAACATATGTCTATATAATAGTAGATTTGTGGTTGCCAGGGACTACAGAGAGAAGGAATTGGGCAGAGATGCTTAATGGGCATAAGATTTCCATTTGGGACTGAAAAAGTATAGAACTAGATAGTGGTGATGGTGATATAAGATTATGAGTTTGCTTCATGCCACCAAATTGTACATTTTAAAACATAAATGTATATATCAAACGTAAGGCTTTTAAATTAGCAAATTTATGTTATGTGCATTTTACCACAATTTACAAAATTGTAAAATGTAGAGGTATGTAGATTTGTATCCTTTAGAAATCATTTGGCAATTTTTGAACATCTCTTAATAAGAACAATATGAAATGAGTATGTATCATCTTAACTAAATGAGATGAGTATTTGTATCACAGTGGTTTTCTGTTTAATTCAAATGTGGGCAGTACCTACAAATGAAATAAAAGGAAAACAAAATAAATACTTAGTAGTGGGACATGATGAAGCCACTAACATGTTGTTTAATTTTGTATCCTTTATAACTACTCGTCTTATATATTTTTCATTTCAGAACTCATATGCTATACAAGTTTGTATGATTTTAGTTTTTTTATCAAGTATATTTGGATATTGCAAAGAAGTGGTTCAGATTTTCCAACAGGTAAATAACATGTTTCATATCTCTAAAATTGCAAAATTTTTTAATATAAATAAACTACTTGATAAACAATTATTTGAACTAGTGTAATGTCATAATAAAATCACATAGCTTGGCTAATGTAGACCTTTAAAATAAGCATAAACTTTCAGAAGTACATGATTTCAGGTAAGGTCACTATAGCTTTAATGTATTTGAGAAAGAGATATTCCATTTTTACTGATATAGATGAATCTGACTGGCTACAAATGACCATTATGAATAACTTTCATATGTTTTCTCTGATATCATTTTTAATGTTTTGTTAAAATAATAGTTAGGCTTGAATTTGATCATTTAAAATATAATTTTTACAAAGAATTTATCTGGCTGAAGGCTCAAATGGTTCTCTGTTTGAATTCTTTTCCTAATAGAAATTCTTTTCTTTATTGGATAAAATTTCAGGTTATAATAAAATTTGGAACATTTTTATGACATATTATTTTACTTTGTACTTTATATTTTCAAATGGTAACCAAGTTCAGATCAGACCCAAGTATCATGCAAATGATCTGCAGGTCCTTGCTTTGATAAATGTCTTGGATTCTTTATTTCTGTGTAGAGGTGTAATATTTTATTATTTGTCTTTTTTTGTGGGTCATTTTGTGAATATTATTTTCTAATTCATATAGCTCTGATACAGCACCTCTGTTTCTGTGAAAATTTTCTTTCTTGCATTGTGTCCCTGCATGCACAGATGTTTGCATTAATGAGTGCACATAATAATGATGCTTTGCATTTATTTACTATTATATTATTACAAAGACTTTCATTTATATATTTTAAGTAAATTATCAAAATTTTGAGAGACTATCTTGTTCTACTTTACCTTAAGTGATTTAAGGTATATAACTTAATCTCTCGTCATTTTTTCATTTTCTTAAAATGAAAATTGCAGATTATAGTTTAAATTGAACTATTAAGTTTATATGTTCTGACAGATTTGGTCTCCACATTTTCTTACTGATATTAAAATGGTCTATCCTACATGAAATTTAATGCCCCAAATATGAAATCTTTTAACAATACCATTATGTTTTGTTCTCATTTCCTGGTGAAATCTCTGAAGGTCTCAAACATGTTTAGAGGCAGACAGTTTATATGTATCCAGAGAGGGCCATGTGTTCCTATATGGACACAGAGATCTCAGAAATTACTAAACCAACTTGACCCCTAGAGGTTACTTTATGATGGAATGGGCTCTGCAGCGTAAGCCCACAAACTTGTAGGATTTTCTTAGGTATCAAACTCTCATAGCACCAGGTCAATTGATGACTCTGGGCCATCTCCAGCATTTTTGCATACATACTTTGGGGGCCCAAGGACTCTGAAGCAACCCAGATGACAGAAGGTGACTCCTTGGTCATTTGTAGACATATGTATGTGTCTGTGTGTGTGTGTGTGTGTGTGTGTGTGTGTATCTCCATAGATACCGGGTCTCTATATGTGATAATTGTGCATTATTGTCAATCCCAGAAAAGGAATTACTTTTTGGATTATAACAATGCCTTGGAATGGCTTATCTACACAACTAGCATTATTTTCGTGCTGCCCTTATTTGTTAATGTGCCGGCGAATGTGCAGTGGCAATGTGGAGCGATTGCAATATACTTCTATTGGATGAACTTCTTATTGTATCTTCAAAGGTAAAGCCAGTTTGAATTATTTCTATGTCCTTTAAACATTTTTAATATCAAATGCAAAACTATTTTAAATTACATGAAATTATAATGGACTTATTCCTTTTTTCCAGTTGTTTTAAAATATGAAGATGTGTGTGTGTGTGTGTGTGTGTGTGTGTGTGTGTGTATAGCAGGGGATTGTGGAATTCAGAATGCAGATGAGGGTCTTTCAACCTCAGCACTATTGAACTTTTGGCTCAGTTAATTCTCTTTTGGTGTGTATGTATTTAGGGACTTGTCTTGTGTATTATAAAATGTTTGGTAACATTTCTGGATTCTACCCACTAGGTACTGATAGCACCTACCCCTATCTCTATTGTGATAGCCCAGATCTATCCAGACATTACCAAATGCCCCCTTAGTGCCAAATCTTCCTGGTCAAGAACCACTGAGCTAGAGAAATCTAGATTAAACGTAGGGAGTAAATGAGTGTACAAGTTCTGGCATTTCTTTCTTTACTTGATATTATTTGACAAGCATTTACTTTGGGGTAAAATGTTCAAAATGAAATGATAAGCAGTATGGGAAATAAATGTGGTATTAAAAATAAAAGAAAAAATAAATCCAACTTCTCCCACTTATTGTTGTTCAATTCAATGTTATTTCACATTGCTTTTACAATGAATAAATGTTATGTCATTAATTTTCTATATAAAAGAAGTTTAAGCATTTTAATGAGCAACTTGCTAAAGATCTCTGCTAGTAAGTCAAGACTTAAGTATTTAACCAGTCTTCTGACTCCAGGGTTCATGCATTTTCCACTGTCCCATCCACATTACTGTCAGGAGCACAATGATCTTGCACCTTGATGAGACCCAGTGGCCCAGGAGGGTTCAAGTCAGGCTGCACAACTGTCATTCCTTTTGTTCTGTCATATTCAGTGACCTTGGCAAGTTTTTCAACATCTCTGGGAACTTAACTGAAGTCCTTTTCAAATTTTTAAAAATCTGTCTTATTTGTTGAGTTATACATAATATGCATGTATATTTGTGAGCTACAATGTGATGTTTTGATTTTTGTCTGTATTGGGTAGTGACAGTTTTGACATCCTGTGATTCTCACTTTTGGTAAGTAATCTTTGGCAAAGGAGGAGAACAAGCTAGTAACCAGATGATACCCATTATCTGTCCAAATATTCTACCATGCAGGGTGCTGAGATGGGAAAACAGAAGGGGTCAATCCCAGAAAAGGAATTACTTTTTGGATTTGAATGCAAATCATGTGTGGTGTGCCCTGTAACAGGGGCCTTCAAGAACACAGGCTCATTTAATCATTCTCTGCTTGGTGCAACACATGATTTGTCTCTATAATTCCTTTAGCAAGCATTTACCATGATTCTCTTTGTTATTGGGGAGCTATGGGGTTTTCTCTCCTACTTTGGTTGAAGTAACATCTAGTGCTCAAGTGGAAAAATGATAGAAGGTAAACATTAACAAAAGGTGGGAGGAGAATCATTTGATGAACAGCCTGAAGGTTAGGCTTATTATTCATACATTTTTATGTCTTTTTTTCCCAAAATGGACTCAATGGTCTCATCTATGAAACATATACCTAATTTAATACATGATAAATATTGTCACGCAGTGAAATACACTCTGACCACAAAAGTGAGGAAATATAATTTTTTTATTTTTCTAGATTTGAAAATTGTGGAATTTTCATTGTTATGTTGGAAGTAATTTTGAAAACTTTGCTGAGGTCTACAGTCGTATTTGTCTTCTTGCTTTTGGCATTTGGACTCAGCTTTTATGTCCTTCTGAATATACAGGTGAGACAATTGCATCAGTAATTGACTTCAGCACTGTGAATATTAAAAATAGAATTCTACTTAAACCTCAATTGCCTAGGAAATAAACAATATTTACCTTTTTCATCTTGATATATATTTTTAATGATATTTACTGCAGAAAAAAGTGGAAAGGGAGATGTTTTCTATTATCAAAAAGTTTGCTTAAAATGTATAATGATTTGCCATATATATAAAAGATCTTTTTGATAATTTTGCTACAGCTTATTAATATTTCTTATGAATACATTTTAGTAGCTACTTGCCTATGACTTTTATTTGTTTAATTCATTCAGATTTGTTATATATGACAGCAGAATGCATTTCGATTCATGTTACACATAAAGAGCACAATTTTTCATATCTCTGGTTGTACCCAATGTAGAGTCACACCATTCATGTCTTCATACATGTTCCTTGCCTATGACTTTTTAAAAAGTATTCTGATTATATTTTCTGTCATTTTACTCTCCAGGAAATACATGTACATTATTCACATTTTGCATTTCATTTTGACCTTTCTGTCTTTTCTCAGGATGCCTTCAGCTCTCCGTTACTTTCCATAATCCAGACCTTCAGCATGATGCTAGGAGATATCAATTACCGAGATGCCTTCCTAGAACCATTTTTGAGGAATGAATTGGCATATCCATTTCTGTCCTTTGCCCAACTTATTGTCTTCACAATGTTTGTCCCAATTGTCCTCATGAATTTACTTGTAAGTAGCTTCTCTTTGTATTTTCTCTGTGTTGACCAAAATAATTATTCTTGGCTTCTTGGAAGTCCCTCTGATGGAGGGAGATAGATGTATTAATTTCATGTTGCTATAACAAATGTCTGAAGCAACTAATTTACAAAGAAAATAGCTTTGTTTAGCTCACAGTTTTGGAAGTTCAAAGGCATGATGTTGGCACTGGCCCAGTTCTGGTGTGGGTAGCAGTTGGTGACACATAATGGTGGGAACACACACAGGAACAAAACAATAACATTTCAAACTAGAGCAGAGACAGAGAAATAGTATTGGGGGGGGTATCTCACAGTCCCTTTCAAGGGCATGACCTCAATGACTTAAGGACCTCTTCACAAGGCCCCACCTCTTAAAAGTTCACAGCATCTTTGAATACCATCACCCTGGGGACCAGGCCTTTACATATGGACATCTAGGGGTCCATACTAAAGCAATGGAAAATGGGATACTACAAAATCTATCATTCAGTACTTACATGGTGCCTGGGGTATACCAGGGACATCAGGAGGCTCAGGGAGTGCATGCATTCATTTGACAAATAATTGCCAAGAATCTACTATATGCTAAATACTGTTGCTGGTTCTTGGAAAAAGTAGTGAATAAAACAGATCAGTACCTGGTTCTTATATGATTAGAAGTCAGTCATAAAGTAGGTAATAATGAGTGAATATGTAGGATAATGTAATGGAGGTAATGCATGAAGGTAAAGAAGTAGAAAGTTGAGTAAGATAATAAAGATGATGGTGTGAGTTTCTTGGAGTTGGAGAGGGTCTCAGAGAATAGGCAAAGACCTTTGTAGAGTGTATTGTCTTTACCCTTGAATTTCTCAGACCAGAGATTCAAGTGGGGAAAAAGCTCTCCTGCAGGGGCTGTTAGCTGCATTCAGATGCCACCTTAACCAAGTCAAAGTCTAGATACCTTCAGCAGACAGGGGAGTGCTCTTCACATGGAATTTTCTAGAGAATTTTCTCAAATCATGAGCATCTTGGCTGATGGATTTTAGTCTTATGAAAATTCTAATTGGCATGATGAGAATTGTTTAACCCTTATCAATATGTACATATATTGTTTCAGTCAGTTTGTTGTTGTTGTTGCTGTTGCTGTGACTAAAAGATCTGACCAGAACAATTTTAGAGGAGGAAAAGTTTATTCGAAGGTTCATGGTTTCAGAGGTCTTAGTCCATAGAAGGCTAGTTCCATTCCTCAGGGCTTGAGGTGAGGTTGAACATCAAGGTGGGTCAGGGTGGTGAAGAGAAGCAGCTCACATCACAGTGATAAGGAAACACAGAAAGAGACTCCATTCTCCAGATACAAATATATACACCAAAGCTACACCCTAATTTCCACTTCCTCCAGCCACACCCTACCCCTTTAGTTATGGCTCAATTAATCCCTATCAAGGTATTTATTCACTGATTAGGTTAAGACTCTTACAACCCAGTCATTTCTCTCTGAATCATCTTGCATTGTCTCACACATGAGTTTGGGGGTACCCCTCACATTTAAACCATAACATATGTGTATGCATTCTACTTGCTTCTTCTGCATCTGATTCAGTAACACAGACTGTGTTAGGCATTGTTTCCGGAAAGAAATAAATAATGCAGACTCCTTAGTGTTTTGATTCACTTATCTGATACAAAAACTTATCTGATTTTTTTTTAATCCTTGAAAAATAAAGGATAGTGCTAGGAATCATAGAGGATGATATAAGCCCACATTCTTCCCTTATAATGGCTTATGTTTGGGAAGATGACTATTCACAAGATAATTTGGGTTACCTGTAGTACAACTTCTCACCACCATGAAGATGCATGCACCCAGCTCCCACTGAGCATCTCTACCTGCATGTCCCAAGGGAAAATCAAACCCCACAGAGTCAAGACTAAAACCATCTTTCCTTCCAAATTTGTTACTAACCTTGAAGTAACATCTCCTAATGGTCTTAGAACATGGGAAGATTTTCTTGGCCACCCCCAGCACTTTCCCTCATTCCTTTCCATAATTATTTGCCTTCTATGTCTACTCTGCTTGGCTTTCACCCTCGACATTCTTTAAGTTGCTGCTACTGTCACTCCTCTGTCTAACCCTTCCTACATATTTTCACTACAGAGATGGCTAATGAAAATCTGGACCTGCCAATGTCTCTCATTTTTGTTCTATGACTCTTTAAAAGCTTCAATATAGCGTGCTCCCAAGCATCCCTGTGATCTTGATCTGATCTTACCCAAAGTCTACCCTTCCTAGGAGTGTGCCAGCTTCCTTCATGCCTCCTGGACTCTCATAAGCTCTTCCTTTTGCCTGGAAAACTGTCCCTCCATGAGTTAACTCTAAGCTTTCAAAACTCAGCTTAACTGTCATCTCTTCTGGGTAGAATTCCCTTACCAATGCTCTCACCGCCCCCTCATTACTTTAATCTGAATTGGGCACTGCCTCTTTAAGTTATCATGGTTTTGAGGACACAAATTAGAGATAATAAACTCTTCTTTCTTGGGGTTTATGAAGATTACATTAGCTAACACAAAACACTTTAAATGGTGCTTGGCACATGATAAGCATCCAACGAATAATAACTATTAATAGTTGATAATTGACCTGTTTTGTGTCTCACATTTCAGAGCCCAGGCAAGCATCTGAAATGTGTGAAGAAGAAAATATGAGATGATCAGTTTTGGTCTAGGCTGCTATAACTTGGACAGAACCCCCATCTAAAGACTTGCTCATTTAAAACAAAAATCCTGACAAATAAAACCTATTTGCTGAGCATGTATTGCTCTCAATGCCAGTTTGCAATTTCTAGAATATATTCTCACACTGTTCATTCGTTCAGCAAATATTATATAGAGAGTTTATAAAACACTGGACATATAGCAATGACCAGACAGACAAAGTTCTTCTCTTGTGGAGATCTTGGGCTTTCAACTCCCTGAGAGCAGTCACTGGCTTTCCATTCTCTGATGTAGCATCTAGGATGCCAGCTCAGTATAGACAGGGACTAAGCACCTAAAAAAAATAAATAGAAGAATGAGTCAATTTAATTAGATTGAGTAGATCTAAATCAACAGCTTCCGCTTACCTGATTCTATCTAGTCACAGATTTCTAGAGGGATTTCTCACCAGAGTTTCACCTACCTTCTTCTGCCAAACATGTGAGATATAAATTCTTATTCCCTAAGATTAATGTTTTAACTTTCTCATGTTGGCAATCACTTTTATATGCTTTAGTTAAACTAAATACCTGGAATTGCCAACCATGTTGCATGGCTACCCCCAGTCGCATTTGATATCATATCGTCCCTGTTCTCTCCAAAAAGAACATGTTTTTATCTTAAAATGGATTGCAGATTAATCTGTAATGTCTTAAGCTTTTATGATAACAGTTAAGATCATTGTACTGAAGATAGTACTTGGCACATGATAAACATTCAATGAATACTGAATACTCTTGCAAAGGTATGTGGGGTTTGCAGTTTTGTGTAAGGTATATTAGCAAAGCATTACACAGCCATTGCTAGTAGATCACATGCCCACTCCTCCACTTTGGCCAGAGAGACCTTGCTGAAGTCTGAATGGTTACACCCCCTGCAAAAGTTACATGTTGACGCCTCATCAACAAGGTGAGAGTCCTAGAAGGGGCCTTTGGGAGGTGATTAGTGCATAATGGCAGAGTCCTTATGAAAAGGATTTGTGCCTGTTTAAATAGGATGTGAGAAGCTTGTTGGACTCTTATGTCCTCTACTACGTGAGAACACATAGAAGCCATTCTAGGAGGGATCACTGAATCAGCTAGAGCCTTCATTCAGGAGACTTTTCAGCCCCCCAAACTGTTAACAGTACCTTTATGATATTTCTAATGTACTCAGTCAGAGATTCGGATGTAGAAGCCTGAATGGACTAAAGCAGTGCATTTTTAGATGGATCATAATTAAATTTTATGTTGTACTTCAGATCGGTTTGGCAGTGGGGGACATTGCTGAGGTACAGAAACATGCATCATTGAAGAGGATCGCTATGCAGGTAAGTAAGTATTGTATTTAAAGCTTACTGAAATGAACAGTGTCATAATTATTTGCATATAAGAATAGCAGATTTTCTGAGAACACATATTTATATCCCTATTTATTATGAATATTTTCTCAATACTGAGGAATATATCCTGTGTCTGCTTGCATGCTCCCTGGCATATCTGCTGTAGTCAGAGCTATTGAGAATGATGAAAAATGTCCCAGACCAATCTAAGCAGAGAAATGGAGATATGACCTGAGCCTCTTTATGATAACATGGGGCCAAACAGATAGCTAGTAGCTAGACCAAGAACATCACTACTCTGTGGTGTTGTGTATTGTCACAGCCCAACTGTTCAAAAGAGCTCCTGATATTTTGGCATGGAATCATCGGGTGCCCATAGCAGGTTTTATATGTAAGTTTTGACTGTATCCATGAGGCTTTTGTTCTTGTGTGATATCCCCGTCATTTTTCTAGATAATTTGATGTAAATTTTGCTATAGTCAAAGGTTTCTGCATAGATCCTTTGCTATTGAGTCTTAAGTGGTAATTTCCTATCACACAACACAGTTATTTCTATGCTCTTTATTGTTTTATCTTTAAATTTCAATTTGGAGTGAGAATATTTGATGCTTCAAAAATATCAGAATATCAGTAGTATGTATGCATTTAGAATTTAGGCCAGTTTAAGTGAAAGAAAAACCTGTGCTAAATGTAACTTTATTCAAAGCAATGTTTCAGCGCATGGTATTTATACTGTGTAGTACAATTTAGCATGAGAACCCAGAGGAAATAAAGGGATGTGGTCTGACTTATATTAGGCTGTGCCTACTTATCATAGCAACTACACATTCAGGGAATGAACGATCAAAACTCAACTGAGAACTATCCTTAAACTTTACACTGTATGACTTAGCTGTGTATTGTATAGAGAGTGTGGGACATCTAGAGACCAAAAATATATGAATTACCACGTATAGAAAATAAATGCAAAAACAATTAAGGGAAACTGCATAGAGAAGATGGGATGAGTGA